AAATAATAGCAGAATCCTAGAGTGTATGTAAGAGTTCATAAAGCATTCAGAGGTCTATCACCACCCAGGGATAAAATGGTGAGAGATTTTTCAACAGCGGAAATCATACTTGCTTCGGTTATATGAACTGCGGGATCTTAATAGTAAATAGTAGGACCAAATAGTAACTATGGAGGAGTTGTTTCCACATTTTACTTTTCTATTTCACACTCAAACTCAGTATACTTAGTTCAGTTTGAAGGTTTAATTTTGTTAATCCCAAATTAAGTAATTTATGGTTAGTCCTAGCACTGATTTGTAGGGAAGGAAGGATCATGATTCAAGGGAACTCTGAAAGCCCTCAGACTCAGCACCTAGCTTGAAACTGAGCCAACTATCCAAACCGGAAGGCTGAGATTCGAGGCTGACTGAGTGCATGGCCTGGGCCAAGTCAGGGAAGCCATATCCTATCCCAGATCCCTGCAGAGAACAGGCTTTCCAAGACTCACACCTACCAACATCCATAGAGTGCTGAACTCAAACTGAATTTAAAAAAAAAAACATTAGACAGTCACATAGGTCATGCTCTCTGACTAGGATGGAGACTAACAGGTTCATTTCTGAAACCAAACATGAGAAGCAGGGTTCTGGATGGATCTGTGGGAGCCCCACCCACCAACCAAGGTCACATTCTCTTTCTGCAGAGGCCAATTGCTTTTACTTTGGAAGATGCAATCCAAACCAGATGATCTACAAGTTCTGCCCCTTGGGAGAACTTATTTTCCCCACTCACCTGCCCCCACCTCACAGGCCGTGGGTATGGGGAGGGCACTGCAGAGCACATGTGCTCCCACCCCACAGCCATTGCCTTCTCTGGGGGTTACTGATAAATCCGAATTGCTGTGTTGGCCAGTACTTGAGTCCAAATTGAGGCTGGCCTGTCACAGCTATTTATAAACCGCCCGTACTCTGTTCCTAGAGGAACCATCAGCAGAAATGTACCATGTCATCCTTCTGAGCTTACCCTGGCCACAGGCGTTGACGGAAAGCATTACACACGAGAGTATCTGCTGGCACCCAGCTACGAGGCTGTAGACCGTGTTAACATCCAGCATTTCAGAACTGTGGTTTTGTCGAGGACAGCAGGTTAGCCTGTGACTGGGGTAGGCTTAATTCCTCTGAGTCTCAGAATTCTTTAGCAAGTATTCTGCAGAGTTCTGGGCTCAGTGGCTTTTTGTTGGTGGAGCCTCCTGAGCTGAATTTATGCATAGCCGTCACTGCCCTGATATGGTCAAGCCCCAGGCAGGTAGTTTTGCCAGTTTCCTGTGGCTGGCTCCCAGGCTCACCTCAGGACTGGGGCAAACAATGCCTTGGGACCAGGAAGCCAGGCTGTTTGCCAAGGTCTTCAGCATCCCATCTCCCCCTTTTAAGCTCCCATCTGTGACAGGCTTGGACCTCCCTTTATGCCTGGCTGGTGCCGGGCACCTTCCCACAGGCTGCCTCCCCCCGGTCGCCTTCCCTTCCTCACCTCTGCAGGCTGCAGGAGCTGCTGGCTGCAGCCTGGTGTCTTCTGTGGATCCACCACAGCAGGAAGAAACTTAGAGCACCCAGCTGTGGGCAGGCCCCTAACTACCTAGAAAATAGCCCTCCCCTCAGCTAGAGAGGATGGTAGTTTAAGAGTGGGCTTTACGGAGTCCTGACTGATGGTGTGTGCTCTAGGAGTCTGCCGTCATGGGTGTTGGGCACTCTGTTAGAGAAGTACCTGCCTGATACCTACCTTCTACAGCACCCAGTGGCAAGCTGCACACCAAGGGCATAAGTCTAGCCCTCTCTCTGCCCTACCACATCCATAATCTGGGTGCATGTGAATGTGGGGGTGCAGGGCAGGGGAGCAAAGGTGGAAGATGGAAGTCCACAGGCCCAGGTAAAGGACACTGAAGGCATCGGGCCTCCTCTTTTCCTCCAGGCCAAGGTTAAGGGCATCCTTCTGTCCCTCTGTCTGTATTAAATGTGTCTGAGGAGGCCCCGCCTCCCACAGGCTACACCCTCGGGCCTACCTGGTGAAGCGAGGGGTTTCATCATTGATGTTCACAATGTTCACCTGGAGCTCTGTGGAGGCTTTGAGCCCTTCGCTGTCTCTCACTTCGGCAATGAGATGATAACTGCAAGGGCAACACCACAAGTGAGGGAATCAAACTTGGGTTTGATTGACACCACCGCAGAACAGGCTAGCAAAAGGTGAGGTGTGGGGAGAGTCTGTCCCCTTTCAGCCAGCCCTCCACACTGCACATCAGGCCTGCTAGTTCCCCCTTCTTTCCTGTCTCGAAAACCTGCTTACTCATTTCTCACCCTAGGGTATTGTTCATGCCACCATCCCGCCCAGCAGCTGCTCGCACTATGTCTTCACTGCTCCTCAACGGTGTCCTCAAATCGTGGTATTACAGCCCACATGAGGAAACTGAGGCACCCACAGAATAGGTAACTATCCCTGGTTGTACACCCAGGGCAGAGCCGAGAGCCAAACCTGGGTCAACCCAAGGCCTGTGTGTTTTCATCCTCAAAGCCCGGCTTCACCTCACACTACCCTGGTAGAGGCCTGCTCATCTCCACCTGCTTCCGTGTTAGCACACAGCTCTGATGGCTACCTCTGCCCAGCCAGGAGGGCATCTGAGGAAATATTTCAGAGGCTTTGAATGCTCACTCACCACCTTCATTCTTGTTTCTAGAAACGAAGGTTTTGGATGCAGAAGGAAGCCTTCCAGATAATTGCCTTATTCCCTATTCCTCTTTGGGCCCACTATCCTCTGAATTTAGCAGTAAGGCAGCAAAATGCTCCAGGCCTGCCTAGCCGCCCTCAGGCTGTACTATGCCTGCTCCTTGACCTTCAGATCAACTGTACTTCAAACAAGGTCATTAGTAATGCCCACCTGCTGTGTCCTGCTTCAAAGTCAAATTCTGTGGTAGAGAAGAGGGTCCCATTAGCAGACATTCTAAAGTTCTTTGAGGGATTAGTCAGGAAATACTGAAAAGCAAGGAAAAAGAATGTAACCCGAAGCTCTCATGCATTTTCCCCTGGTGGACAAGTTTGCTTTTCCCATTTCATATTCTTGAACCATGGGATGCCCTGATGCATCAGGATGAGGCCCAAATGGGAAATTCTCAGACTTAATGGTTCCTGAATCAAGAAACTTCTGGATCAGTCAGTCTGAGCCTCTGACCCTTATGGGCCACATCTGAGCAGCTGGGTGCTGGCCCCTGCTGCGGTTATGGACTGCATACAAAAGGCCCCCATTTGGTATCCTGCCTCTGAATCCAGCTCCGTACACCATCACTGTACCCTCAGCTCTGTTTATCAGGACAACTTCTGGCTTTGACTCTATGTCTTGGCTCTAACCAATGCTGTTTAAACACAGCTACCATGCATTAGGTAATAGGACAACACTAAAGGAAATATGATCTGATCTGTACCCTTAAAATAGCTCCTGGCATAGTGGGCTACAAAAATGTTCACAAGCATTATTCATGAAAATGATGGAAGAGAAAAGGGGAGGGACAAGTTTGAGAGAATGAAATTTAGCAGGCCTAGGGGCCAAGTCGGAAGCTGGCTTGGAGATACAGAAGGGCTGTTTGAAAATCTGATCTCAGGTTTATGGCCACTGGTCAAATTTTCCCGCGTCTCAGGTACTGAGAGTCTGTCTTCCTTGGCTCCCAGGGCCCAGCCCAGCTTTCTTAGTGGCTCAGCACCACGTGCTTTGCCAGGAGCACAGACTTATTGGCATGGCCCACCGAGGGCCAGCCCAGTGTGTCCAGCCTCTGTACTAGCCATGGGTGCCGTCAGGATTGCCTCCTTGCTCCGGTGAGGGTGTCCGTGAAGCAGGGGGCAGGCCTGGATCTGAAGAGCTGGATCCAAATTCAGGTCCTCACCACATGATCTAGGACAAGTCCCTTCCCCGCCTGTGACTTAGAGATGATACCACCCACTGTTCCTGTGTATTGTTGTGAGATCAAATCCAAGTGCACACTGCAAAACATGAAGGGCCACAGCAACGCTTGGGGCCTACGTGTGTATGCCCACTTGTTCTGAAGGGCTGTAGGGTAAGAAGCTTCAATATTTCCTACTAGGACGGGCATGGTCTATCCTTGAGGCCCTATATCTCTGGATCAGTCAAGGTTTTGGAACAAAGCCACACCCGTCAAGTCTAGAATCAAAGGAAACACCAGCCAAGGTTACCAACCCAGCCACTTGCTGTGTTGTGATCACAGCTGAGCTCCTCATAGAAGAGTGAATGCACAGAAATATGGATTCAAAGTCTCCTTTGGGGCCAATGCATAGTTTTTAAACCATTCTTTAAAGTGTTTTCTTTCTGTCTATTATTTAATAACATTTTTCTAGTTGTAATGAGCATATTTTTTACATAAAAATTGGGACAGACTGAAAAACATAAAAAAGAAACTCAAGATTAGTCATCTGAAAATCTCATCATTTTCCTGAACAGCCTTCTTTCTTTTCTATGCGAACATACACCCTCCAAAAACATGAGATGATGTTCTATTCAAAATGACAATATCTTGTTCTTTTCATTTATAGCTTGAGTATCTCCCCATATTCTTAAATCTTACTGTATAGACTGCTTGGTTAATGATGGCATGGCATTCCACTGTAAGAGTTTATTTCACTAAGTCTTTCTTGCTGGTCACTTAGGTGGTTCGTACCCATTTAAAGAGGAAATATTTTGGTAATGCTAAGAAGCACCCTTCTCCCAGCCCCCTAAATTGATTAAGCCTTTTGGGCACCCAAAGGCATGATGCTTAAGTCCCAAGCCCCTCACCAACACTGCAGCTCATTACCTGGGCCGCAGCTGCCTGCCCATGAGCAGTTCTGTGTCTTTGAGCAGAAACTTTCCTTCAAGGAATCCTCACATAACCATAGATCAGAAGCCCAAGCTGGATGTGATGGAATGGCAGGTAGGGGCATTTACTGTATGTGCTTTAATCCAGATGCCATTCCACATGTGTTTTGAAATGCCCTAGGAGATAGGTCCCCAGTTCTGACTGGTCCCAAACAGTAGAAGGGCTTAGGATATGGCCTGCTCTCCAAAAACTAAGGTCAACTGTGGGAATGTACAGAGAAGATGTGAAAGAGATGCTCTGAGAGGGATAAACACAGGACATGATGGGAACAGAGAAGGCAGACTCTTGACGCATGTGGGCTATAAGGGTCACCAACTGGGGCCCTTGAGTCAAGTTTGGTGGCTCTGGAGCCAGACTGCTGAATCTGAAGCCTACTTCTCCCACTTTCCAGCTGTGAGAGCAACAAGGATTAATAATAATAATGCCCCATCATGTAAAGAGCCCCCAGTATACGCCAACTATTACTGTCTGGTTAGAATGTAAGATCCATGAGAGAAAGGGCTTCTTTTTCTTCACTGCTATATCCCCAGTGCCTACCACATAATAGATGCTTGAAAAATATTTGTCAGTTACTAAATATTGAGATTTTCTTCTGGTCTCTCTCCCATCTGAGAAGTATTCCCACCTTAAAGAATTTAAAAACAAAACCAAAAAGGCAAAACAACAACCAAAATCTTGTCAAACTTTAAAAAAATCTGTTTTGATTTGGTAATGCTAGACTTGGGTAGGAAATCTCCAATTCTGCCTACAGTCTCAGCAAGAAAGAAAAAAGACAGAGCACTAGGTAGAAAGAGTAGAAAGCTGTAGAACTGGGAACATGGAGAATTTCTGTTTAATTTTTATTAAGAGGCTAATTTCCTGGAATCCTGATTTTTTTTTTCTTTTAGCACCAGGCTAATTTCCTTTATCCCTGAACCTATGAGCTTGTGTTAATGGAAATAGAAGTTTCTTACTTAGCAAGGAGATAATATCCATAGACTAAAAATATTGTGTCATGTGGCCATTTGCCAGCAACTCAGTAAAGCTTTCTGTAAAACCTGGCAATCTCTCCCCCTTTCAAAGGCTTGTTTAATCAAAGCTGCTCCCTTGATATTTATTCTTGGAAAACAGAAATTAAATAGAATGAAAAGCAACTGCAGTCCCTCTCTGCTCCAGTACTGGCTAAGAAGAGTCCTGAGTAATCAGATCAATTCGTTAACAAATGCTTGTTAGACAAGCTCTCCAGTTTCCCCCGCTGGGAATATCCTTTACCACCACCCCAGGTTTCTCTCCTTGCAGCCCCTTGGCCGCTCCGCTTCCCTCAGGGACACAAAGCTTTGGTGTGGAAGACAACCACGCCCACGCTTCCTGCCCATTCACCCTGTATTGTGCCACTGGTGTTGGGAGAAAGGAGGGTGAGAGGGACCTGGCCCAGTTTCCTGAAATGGCAGGCTCCCCAGGGAGGGCCAGCCACCTCCGGGTACCCCCACCCCCACCTGTCACAGCTGCAGTCACAGGTGAATCCTGATCCAACCCGTGGCGGTTTGTGGCCATCAGTTGTTTTCAGGCCTTAGAGAGAATCAGGTAACAAGAATTCAGCCTCCATCTCTAAGAACACAGCAGTCAACTTGCAGGGGCCGAGTGTGCAGAGGAAGGAAGGACCCTTATTCCCCCCAAGTCTGGGAGGGCAATGACCCTACAAGTCCCTGAAAACATGCCCCCAAACCAGATGGCCAATAGGTCATGGCATCATCTTTCCACTGTGTTGTGACATATTACAAATATGATTTCACATTCCTAATATATTTTTCAGTATAAGCTGAATATTTCATACAAGCCTCAATTCCTCTCTTTTCCCCATCCCAGCTCAGAGCTGGGAGGTCGGGGAGAAGAGTGGGAGCAAAAGGTGTCTAGGAGGAAAAAAACTACCATAAAACCCACTGCAAACCTTTAACTGGGTTTGGCTTGTGCTGTATTGTTATGGGAGAGCTAAGTGGCTTCTAGGCAGGAATTGAATGTCTTTAAGAAGAGCCACATTTATAAAGGCAAACGCTACAGATACATAATCTGTTACTGAGAAAGCTGTGGATCCTATCCTCTCATACACTGCCATCCTTCTTCCATAATCAGCCTGGGTCCCCGTTCTTTGATTCAGGCTTCAGGGACCTTAAGGAGGATGACCCTCATCTAGTCACAAAAGTGTTTCTCCCAATATATGAACAGGCATCAGTGGTGATACATTTGGAGTGGGAAGTGTTTAATACCACTCTTTGTTCCTTTCTGGAGCAGTTTAACAAGAACCTGGAGTAGAATGCATTTTGCAGGCACTTCTGGTGGTGATACAGCATCGCTGAATGAGTTGTGTGTGTGCGTGTGTGTGTGTGTTTGTGTTGGAAATGGAGGCACATGGGGAACGGGAAGGGGGGCTGTCACTCAGAAAGGGGTGGCACCAAAGACAGACTTGGCCAGTACAGGGTAAAAGGGATGAGCAGAAGTTGGTCAAGAGAGCTCGGTTCTCAGTAGAGTTACCCAGCCCAGGCAAGGGCATTAGTTCCTTCCCTTATCAGGGAATAAGGGGCTGCTCTGCTGGACCTGAAAAGTCCCATCCTGCCAGGATGTGCACGTAAGGATCACTTTATTCCCAGTAAGAGCCATAGGCACAACTCGATGCCACTCCACAGAGCCTTGAGCAAGATGGAGGTGAAGAATTGCTTCCCCTGATACAGTAGCAAGGTTATTGCTCTTGTAATTTAATCCTTTGTCTGCCCTAGTGAAGACAAAGCACATTTTACTTTATGCAAAAGTCCTTCCCTAATGGAAAGGCCAAGACAAAGCCCCTTAAGGAGGAATTGCTGCACTAGATCACTTAGCCTCCAGCTGTGAAACTGATTAAGGTCCTTAGAGTCTCCACGGAGGCTCTAGGCAGTCACTGTGGCCATTTCCAAGCAGAGGGGGTGGAGGGACTGTGGGAGTTGGATGGGAGAGGGTGGGTCTCACAGAGCCTCCTTCAGGAGGTGGAAAAAGGGCAGGAGGAGGGAGGGAGGGAGCTGAGAAGAAATGCCAGTAATACAATTATTCACATACAGACTGTCCTATGCACAGTTAAATTCTAAGCCTGTTACTGATGCCCACCACTGAGCATGCTCCACCCGCACCCCATTGCAACACAGAAGGTGCCCAGGGAGGGGCTGGTGCTGGATCTAAGCCTGTGCCTGCAGGCACAGGAGCCAGTAGCCATGGCCCCTGTGATGACTGAGCATGTATGCAATGTGGCTGGTCTGCAAGGAGAGGAGCTGGAAGTATAAAATACACAAGTCCGAAGACTTACTATGAAAAAAAGGATGTAAAATATTTTCATTAACTCTTTTTATGTGGTTACATGTTGAAGTGATAATCATTCAGATATTTTGAGTTAAATTAAATTAAACAATTTCACCTGTTTCATTTATTCTTTTAATGGGACTACTAGAACATTTAAACTCACACTTGCAGCATTCATTTCTGGCTCACAGTCCAGCTCTGTTGGGCCATTGCTGGTCCAAACAATGTACAACCACATGCTCTTTAAATGTCTTTAAAAAGGAGGGAGGGCCAGTGAAATAAGTCAGATGGAGAAAGACGAGTACCAAATGATTTCACTCATCTGTGGAGTATAAGAACAAAGCAAAAACTGAAGGAACAAAACAGCAGCAGACTCACAGAACCCAAGAATGGACTAACAGTTACCAAAGGGAAAGGGACTGGGGAGGGTGGGTGGGAAGGGAGAGATAAGGGGACTAAGGGGCATTGTGATTAGCACACATAAAGTACAGGGGGGCATGGGGAAGGCAGTATAGCCTAGTGAGGTACTAGACTTTGGGTTGCTGACCTAATTTCCACCCCAAACATGGGGTGGTGGAGAAGACAAGTAGTGACTCTATAGCATCTTACTGATGGACAGTGACTGTAATGGGATATGTGGTGGGAACTTGATAGTGGGAGGAATCTAGTAACCACAATGTTGCTCATGTAATTATATATTACTGATATCAAAATAAAATTTAAGAAAAGGAGAGAGCAAGTACCAGTGGTTTCTGTGTTAGCTCCAATTTTATGTTATCTGGGTGTGGATAAAATGAGAGTTCCTGTGGCCAGGATTCTCACCTGACCCTGGTTGACTAGCTCACTGCACACCTGTAGGCAATACATGGCTGTTGACTCTATAAAAAGAGCTCCACCCAGTGCTCTGGGCATGACCCTGTGGCAGGGCTGCAAGGCTGCAGGAGAGCAGAGCAGAGGCTGGAGTGGTGGCAGCACCAAGGAGAGAGGCCCAGAGGACAGCTGTGTGGGACGACTGTGCAGGCAGAGAGGCCCAGAGGATGGCTGTGAGGGATGACTGTGCAGGCAGAGGGGCCCAGAGGCAGAGACCTGCTTACTGCCTGCAGACTCGCTCTGAGTGAACGGGACTTTAGTGACTGACCTGCCACCTGGAAATAAAGTTAGGTATAACCCTTTCACCCCAAGAACGTTTTGCTGTCATTTCTTTGGTCACACTGAATCCACAGTGAACTTGCCTGGGGCTGAAACCCACTGGCAAGACACTGGGACATGTTTTTACTTCATTGTGCTGGGTAAGGGTGGTAGGATTCACCCTTTAAAAGGAGTCAGGCTGTCAGGAGGCATATGAGTGCTATTTTTGAATTCATCTTTCCTGCTTTGGTTGCTGCCACCAGTGGAATGACTGCGGGAACCCCCGGTGAGGTGACAGGTGCAAACCAAGTTGAGGAGTCTTCATGCACATGCTTTGGGGTTTACTAAGGTCTGTGCTTGTTTGTCCAGTTCAGTGGCTCTGGAAGGGAGGAATGCATCAGCCTCACTTGGGAAGTTGTGTTCTGGTTCAACATTTTGAAGCCAGGTCCAGGAATCTGCATATTTTAACACAGCCTGTGTATATTCCCATGCCCATACTCTGAGAAACACTAAAAAAACAGTGTTTCCAGCTTTTCTGACCAGAAGGTTCATCTAGCTTGCCAGGCCCATCTCAGACCCACATAGAATGCAAAACTCAAAGAGAGGACCTGGGAAGTGTGGGAAACAGTGTGTTAAAGCAACATTTCTCCACCCTGGCTGCACAGGAGATAACCCCCCTTTAACAGCCTACTGCCCGTGCCATATCCCAGGCCAACCACAGTGGACTCCTAGGGAGTGGGACCCAGATATCTGTGCATCTTAAAGTTCCTCTGGTGGTTTCAATTTACAGCTAAGGCTGAGAAGCACAGGTCTGGTCAATAGCAAATGAACCCATCATCTCCTTTCTCCTGTACAGAGCAAAATATGTCATTTAGTATCCCCAGGAGTCCAGAATAAACTGCCTAAGTACAAAGGCCATACTATGTTGCTTCCTAAGCTGTCATTACCTTTTTCTAGTCTGAGAAATGTTCCCTCTAGATTGTGTTCACTGCTCCTGCAGGCTGGCTGTTGACTTTTGGTGCAGCTGTTAGCTCCAGCACAGGTGCTAAATGTTTCATTAACCCTTTCTGCTGCAATTTGAGTACCCCCTCCCCAGACAACTCCTAAACTCACTGCAGAAGCCAGTTGCAGCCACCCCGTTTCAAGTTCCAAGCTCCTGTAGCTGCTTTCAGACTTCTCTTGAAGGCACTACATTTTCTTTTATGGAGGCAACACCTGCTGCACTGGCACCCCACCTGGGCTGCTTCCCTTCATCTGAAAGGGTAACTACCTTATCTAGGAGGTGTTTTCAAAAGGGCTGTAATCTTGTTCATTTGGCCAGATACATATAAATGGAGATTTCAAAGTAAATAATTTCCTTTCACTTTGTCCCCATTGCATCTTGCACAAACTTTAAAGTCATTATCTTATAGAATTATAATTATTTGGTATATGTATGAATGTTTCCCATCCAGACCATAAACTTCTTCAGATACAAAGATGTGTCTTACTCATCTCTGTTTTCAAAGTATCTCATAGAAAGCCTGGCATATAGTGACCGGATTCCTGGTAAATGTTGAAAAGAACTAAATGTATAAGTGAGGTACTACACTTTGGGTTGCTGACCTAATCTCCATCCCAAATCCCTTTCCCCTGGTACCATGAAGCAACATGTCCTAGGACAGCATTCTGGCCCCTGAGCAGTAAGCAGAATTCCTTTGGGTAGGCCTTCCGGAAGGGTCTTTGTTTGCCCACCAAAAACAGAACAGACTGGGCTGGCCTGCCCCCTTCACTCAGTACCCTTCCTGTTATCTTGTTTTCTTTTTTTTCCTTCCTGCCTAGAACTTGGAGGTAAAACCTGGAGGTGCAGCAGCCCTCTTGTAATCATGGGACAAATAAAAAAGGACAAAGCCAACATGCTCTGGATGGAAGAGCAGAAAGAGAGGAAGAGCTCAGGTTTCTAATGGCAGCAGTTGCTGCATGCCTGCCTCTGGACTTCTTGTTATGGGAGAAAAAAAATCACATATCTGCCACTGTGGCTTTCTGTTATTGTCAGACAAACACTTTCATAATTGTCATAACAAGTATGTTATTGGTAAGGATGCATTTAAAGCACCTTCTATTGCTTTTAACACATAGTAGGAATCCATTAAGTGCTTCCATCATCATTCTTTTTTCATGCAAATAGAATCACAAATGAATAAATGGTTTTCTGGGTTTTTTTTTTTGACAGATGGATCATTTAATAATAACAGACCATTCCCTAACTTAAGATGTGTTCAATAATCTTAAACAACTTTGACCCTATAAACCATATTACACTGGTCTTGGATTTATTCCCAAGGCTTACCTCCTACCGTTAGAAAAAGTAGTCCTGCTGAAGCCACAAATCCTGCAGCAAACAGCAGGAACAGCCTCCTGGTGTTACCAATGCCCTGAGTGTCATACTTCAAGTAGTCCCTTTTCTGTAAGGCGGGGTTTGCAGAGTCTTCCCTGCCCCAAGGTTAGTCGGGAGGCATTAGCTTTGTTTTTTTCTCTGCAAACTGGGCCATCCAGCTGCTGGGTGCAGGAAGCCTCCTTGGTGGATAGAGCTAGGACCTGAGGCATCCCTGTGCAGGGATTAGCAGAGAAGCATCTTCCCCTGAGGGTTGGTGGTTATAAGCGCCCCTCTGGCCACTCCATTAAGGAAACTGATTTAAAAGGGAGAGAGGAGAGATCAGCCATCTCAGCCGGAACCATGAAGGCATCTCTTCAGGACCCAGTCTCCTACTTTTCTCTATGGAATTCCTTCTTGTTTTGGGGATTCCTGGGACTCTGTTTTAATTTTTTTAAACTTGGTTCCAAGCAGGTTGGCTTCATCTCTTGGAAAGAAGTGTTAATGCCTGCCTTTGGGGTATGCATTTTATGCTTATTTTAAAAATAATATAGCTGGATTTTCATCACCTTAAAATTTAAAAATATTGAGAAGTGTCAATGTGCTGGACACTGTGCCAAGCAGCTTTACATGCATTATCTACCTACAATCCCTGTACAGTGGGAGGTGCTATTATTCTTTCATTTTACAGAAGAAGAAATCAAAGCTCAGAGAGGTCAAGAACTTGTCCAAAATCACAGGGAGCCATGAATCCAAGCTGGGCATCTGTCTCCAGAGCCCCCTTACCCATTCCAGCCTCCCCTGTACTCCACGTTTGGCAGCGGACAACATATTCCTCCCATTGCCTCTGCTCAAACTGGTGCTGGCGAGACTCCAGGCAACACAGACAAGCCCCTTGTTGGTTTAACCAGAGACTTACGCTGAGGGGTATGTTTCGGCTTGTGTCTTCTGGGTCGAAGGCCTCAGCCTGGTAAATGAAGCCAGGATTTGCTCCTTCCACTACGTAGAGGTATAGACCTATATCAGAGTCCAAGGTGCAATATGAAACATTTTATTAGAACACTTATTAAATGAGGGATTCCAAACCCAGGGCGGCAGTGCAGGCAAAGGGAACTGAGCGGATTGGCATTGTGGGAAAAAGGAAAGCAACAATAAATAATAAGGCCATGATAAGGCCACTGGCCAACCTGCTCGGAGGGCTTGTTCATGGGAATTAATAAAGTGCTGCAGTTGGCCAAGCCAGTGTGAAGTCTTCACGTTTCCTCCCTTGAGAGGTGACCAAGAGTTTGGTGGGAGAGAAGGGATGACAAGGCAGAGGGTTGGAAAGTCATCCCTGGGTAGGAGCCTCCACCGTGAGGCTGCTCCACGTTCCAGATCCACTGTAACGTGCAAATACCTCCTCAAGCCAGCTAAGGTCAGCCCTTGAAGGGCACTTGGCATCTCAGCAGAAATGAGTTGCTGATACGAGAGGCCGTCTAGTGGAACAGAAAGGTGGATGGAACAGGAGAAGAGGGATCCGGAGGCCCAGAAAGGGGATTGACAATTGATTTCATCTGCTTGAGAGGGCAGTTGGGCAGCAGGGAGCAGGCAGGGCCCCTGACACCGCCAGACTGCCTGAGGGCTGCCTTGCTCTGCTCTGGCATCTCTCGCTCTGAGAATCTCTTTCTGAGAGATGACTGATGACTGCAAACGTAAACATGCACTCACTCCTTTGAGCGCTGTGCTGAGGACTTAGCCTCTGTGTTCTCCTTTACTCTTCCCAACAGAAGAGTACTGCACAAATGAAGTTTGTAATTGTCTCCACTTAGCGAATGAGGAGACAGGCTCAGGGAAGTTACGGCATTGTCTCAGCTACAAAGTCATAGAATCAGAATTCAAACCCAGGCTCACAGCCCAGCTCCAGCTTGCAGTCGCTTTGATCACTGTTCGTGCTTCCTTACAAGTAAAAACCATTTCCTGGGTTCTCCCTCTGTGCCAAACACTGATCCCCACATCCGGCACACAGCAGCTCCCTCAACACAAACCCTGCTCTTGTAGTTGCCTGCATCTCAGTGGGAAAACACAGAGAGTAGACAAAATGAGTAAAATTTCTGAGTGTTCCTGGGGAAAATAAGGAAAGCAGTGCTGTGAGTGGGGTTGTACTGTACATGGAGTGGTTATGGAAGGCTTGCTGACACTGGAGTCAAGATTCTAAAAGAAATGAGGAGCACAGTGGTTTGGGGGAAGGGGCAGAGGACATGGCGAGCACCAAGATGCCACGGTGGGGTCAGGCCCGGGGCATTGACAGGTGGGCGACGGGGCCAGGCCTGCTGCTGCGGTGGAGGGCGTGGGGGCACCGGCTTGCCAGGCCTGGTGGGCTGCAAGGAGACTGGCTCTCCTTTAGAGGGAGATAGGAAGTTCTTGTAGGGCTTTAAGCAGGGGACTGCCTTGATTTACCGGACTTTAACAGGCTCCCTCTGGCTGCTATATGGAGAACAGACTGGAGGGGGAGGCAGAGCAGGGAAGCCAGGGCGGGCCATTGCACTAGCCCAGGTGAGCCCTGGCTGGTGGCTTGGACATGGTGGCAGCACTGGGGACGCGAGGGAGGGGTTGATTCTGCACAGATTGAGACATTGGCAAGATTTCCTAATGGATTTGATGTTGGGTGTGAGAGAGAGGAGTCAGGGGTAGTGAAGCTTTGACCTAAGCAACAGGCAACTGGAAGGATGGAATGGCTCTTAACTACAACGGGAAGACAGGAGAAGCAGGTTTGGGTGGGGATGGTGGCGGTCAGAGCTGGAGTGGGAGCAAGAGCTCAGTTATGAGCATGCTAAGTTTGAGATGTCATTCAGACACCAATTCCAGCGTGTAGTAGTTTCTCCTACACCACCAAGCAATTCTCTGACACCAGCTGGGTGTCTTGCAATTCAACTTCTTTCTGACAGTATATACCTGGGGATAGCATCAGATCCCACGGGTTAAGGGCTCAGTCCCACAAGACACCCCCACCCCCACTTCAGACACCAACTCCAAGTCCAGATTATCTGTTACCCGTGCTTCTGACCCACCAGCTATAGATCTGAGGGTCCCACAATCCCCTCTCTGAGTTCAACTAATTTGCTAGATGGGAATCACAGAACTCAGGGAAATGTCTTACTAGTAGTGGTTTGTTACAAAAGGATATAACTCAGGAACAGCCAGGTGGAATAGATGCATAAGGCAAGGAATGGAGAAGGGGCACAGAGCTTCCATGCTCTCTGACCATCCCTAAATCTCCACCTGTTCACCAACCCTGAAGCTCTCTGAACCCCATCCTTTTAAGTTTTTAATGGAGGCTTCATTACCTAAGCATGACTGATTAAATCCTTGGCCATTGGTGACTGAACTTAATCGCCACCTGTTCTCCCCTCCACAGAGGCAGGATAGGATAGGGGATGGGACCAAACATTCCAACCCTCTAATCACATGACTGGCACCACCACAAACCAGCCACCCACCCCCATCCCCAGGTGACCAAGGGGCTTTCCAAAATCACATCATTAACACAGCAAAAGATATCTTTATTGCTCTCATCACTTTGGAAAACCTTAGGGTTTTAGGAGCTCTGTGCTGGGTTGGGTTGAAGACCAAATATGTATTTCTTATTATCAATCACAGTATCACGTATTAATATCATAAAGTCTGTTAGATATCCAAGTAGAGATGCTGGGTAAGACAGTTGGATATTTGAGTCAGGAGGTCAGAGGAGAACCTGGACTAACATGAAAGATGTGATGGCTGTCAGTATGGCTGGAGGTCAAAGCCAAGAGCAGGCCAAGCGACCCTATGCTCCAGCCCCTTGTGCTGTCGCTGCTCAGTAGCTGATCCCTGATGTGGACTGCTTTCACGGGGTCATGTTCATCCTGGGAAGGATGATCAAGTCAATCAATGACTGCAGTACCCTGTGAAGAGCCTACGACGGGCTCGGGCCAGGTTCCTCCAGAATGATCCATACAAGGTCCCCGAGCCTCAGGTTCTGTCTAGGACTGAGAGAGGCCTGAGAGAAACCATGGACACGAAGGGCTTTGTAAATTGTTGGGCCTTATTATTGGGAGTCGCAGGCTGGAGGATATTTCATTTATTCCCTGCTCATTAAGCAGCTGCCTTTTTGAGGGAAACAGCTGCTTGTTTATTTACTTTTCTGTTTCGCTCTGTCCCCCAGGGTCCTCCCTGATGCCACCATCTGGGCTGCATGGCACCCCCTGGTGTATCTTACCTTTTGCCAAGTTGCCATGAAACTGAGGTGGCTCATTCACATCTGTTATCTGGACAGTCAGGACCTGTAGGTCAGTGACGCCAACGTCATCCTTAACGTAAATCTGCAATTCAAATATGTTTGGTCCTGTTTCAAAATCCAGTTGTTCCTTCCCAGTGGTGACAACCTAAAAGCAAATACAGAATTCCTAGTAACCATGGAAAGAGGGTTGTTCTGTATGCATACACTTTGCAAAGGGAATTTACTAAGAAGGAAGCCACCAGCATCCTGGAAACCCTGTCAGAGAATCAGTTGTTTTCCTCAGTCCTTCCAACATAAGCCTCATGACACTTCACTAAAGGGACTGTGCGTGTGATGTTGCTTTTCATAGGAAAGAAAAATATTCCAAAGAAATCCTGGTTCCATCGACAGGAGCTAGAGAGTTTGAGAACTGAAAATCCTGCCACTGCTTGGGCTAGGTGAGTCCCTTGGCATCCCCAAGTATAGGTGGATTTCTGGTCTCGAAGAAGAAGATGCTACACTTTTCTGTGACTGCTGTTAAGTTACATCTTGATTCATGAATCCATTCTAATTTTGCCAAGGTCGTATCCAAGGATAAACAAGAGAAGATGGTTAAATCTGCAGAAATAACAAATGATATTTACTTACATCAATACCCTGTTCAGTTTTTGTGTGCATTTTCACACATTATTCCACAGTGGCAGGCTTGTCCTCGGAGCTACAAATGTTTTGGATATGTGGGAGGGACACCAAGAACCAGGGCCAGAGAGCCGTCACAGGAATCTAGACTTTTGCGAGCAGGAAGCCAGGTGGTCCATGATGGGAGGGTTCTGCTGAGGTTAGCTGGAGGCCGGTCTATGACCTCTCCCATCTGCATGCACATCCCTACCATCAACTAAACTTGCAGAATCCCAGAAGGCTCAGAGCACTTCAGGACATCAGGGACTAAATTTCATAAATGTCTTAATTATGCCGATAGAACCTCTTGGTTATTAATACAACTGGGGCCAGGCAGTGAGGCAGTCAGTAACCTGTATCGAGAAGAGCACTTAGCTGCAATTCCATTTCCACCACTGAACTTCTGTGTGACGTTGGAGAGGTCACTTGACCTATCCCTGACTTTGTTTCCACATGATTGAAATTGGTAAACAATTATTTCCCTAGTTAAACAACCAAAGTATAATACAAGGTATTATAACAAAGAGCTAAGTCAGGGTGCTATGGAAAATCAGGGAGAAAGTTCACTGTGAACTGTGTTTAATCAAGGAAGACTTCATGGAGGAGGCTGTGAATACTGTGTCTGACTTAGCAAGATCTGGGTCAGTAAAGAGAAAAGAAAACAACCCCAGATGTGAATGAATGCATGCAAGTGGAGGGAGACAGTATGGAGGAGGGCTGAGAGGGGAAGCGAGGTAGTCTGTCTCCACCCACGGGCAGGGTCAGCCTGTTATCTGCATAAGTGGAGGTGACTCTGGCTGGCACGGTGTAGGTGAGGGGTCAAGAGAGCAGACTCTTGAGCCAGACTGACTGGCTTTAAAACCCAGCCTTCCCATGACTTAACCTTTCCATGCCTCAGTTTCCCCATCTGTAAAATGGAGATAATAATAGTATCTACTGTATAAAGTGGTTGTAGGGATTAAATGAGCTAATCCATGGATTAAATGAGTTTAGATCACTGTCTGGTGCTGAGCAAGCACTCTGCAAATGCTGACTTTATGATCTTGGGATAGTCAAAAGTTGTTTAGTGAATTTTTATCCGCCAGGGCAGGCCGCTCTGTCAAGACAATCCACTCTATTTCCTGATTTATGCTCCAGCTTCTTGCTAAGCCTGGAGCCCTCTCCTGAGCCTCCAGCTTGAACAGACTTTTCCACAGTATTACCCATCAACAGCCTGTTCTCCTTGGGAACTAGCTTTAATACTCTAGAGGAAGGAAATAGAACAGTCAAAAAAGGTCCAAAAATGTTTTATCTTGAAATCAAAGGAATTGGGTTGCTGTCAACACAAATGCAAAAGTTATTTTTGTTGTTGTTAGCAGCATTTTATTAAATGTTCATGTGCCAGGAGCTTGCGAAGCCATTTTGTCAAGTATTTTATTTAATCATCACAACAACCACGGGTTGGTAAAACCTCCTTATTTCACACATAAAGAGGCAAGGGGAGGGAGTTGAAGGGGCTCTGAAGGTCAAAGCTGGGAGGGGCAGAGCCTCCATTTGGTGGCTGGCAGGCTGGCTGCAGTCTTGGTGAAAGACAATAAGCTTGGTTTAAGACATGTGACGCCTGAGGGACTTCTGGATTTTCCAAGAGGGGAGATTAAATGAGGGAAAGAAGAGGAAATGATCACTGACCTAGAATGCATCCTCCCCATCTTCAGAACCCCTCTTTGCAAACAGCTCCCACTGGACGTGAGATAGTGCTTACCTCAAAGTCAGTGCCTGACAGCCAGTTCACCCTGAAGGCTTCTGTGAGGGGACTTGAGTTGATGATGAGGGGAAACCCTGCCATCACAGGAGACAGCGATGCTGATAATTTCACAGAAAACTTGTGCACTGAAGTCTCAGGTGGAGAATTCTCTGCCACATTGCTTGTAGCAGGTACATGGATGAGGTGTAGTGCCTCTCCCCCTGTGGATTTACAGTGGATGCAAAATGCCATGAACGCAAAGCCTTGTTCTGGGAACAGAGACTTAACAGCTTGGGCTTTGGCCTCACCTCTTAGCTTGGAGCAGTGATGGAACCTGGTCACTTCCCAAGAATGAATACTATTGCCAAGGTCTGGAAATGAGAATGTGAGATTGTCTAGGAGCCCAGAAAACAACCACCACTAAACAACCATGAAATCTGCTCCTGTCGTTTTGGAAATAAAACCACTGCTTTTCTCTTGTTTCCCTGCTTCCATTCTCTTCTCTCCCAGCCTTTGTGAACAGCCAGGGAAAGAGAAACGTGATGCCATAGGGAGACAGACCCCACGTGACCGAATCTGCACATGACATCCCCTATCTTAGAAGGGCCAGGTAGTTTACAAGGGCTGGTTTTCCGTCTCTGTAACAGTGTTCGATTCCCAGGTCACTGAGAATGGAGTGGGCATGACTGGCGAGTTTCAAAATCATTGTAGATATCCCCAGCTTCATATGTGATCCCAAAGACAATTATTTGCTATTATTGGATTCTGTGGCTATCATTTAGAGGCTTAATCAGAACATTTTAGTTGATAGATTAGCTCCCGTTTCACAGAGAAGGAAATGAGATTCAGGCAAGGCATGGGATTGCCTTGGGCTGCTTTGCACACAGGAATTTTATAATTTAAGAGAAAGCATGTTTCTTCCAGGGGAGCTTTGGGATAGTCTAAGGACGCCTTGATATTCTTCCAGATTTGGCCAATACCTAGGAGAGCAACAAGGCATGTCCTTTCATGCTTCCATAATGATGGTTACTATAGGGGGTTGCATAGTGTCTCTCCCAAAATTCATGAACACTCAGAACCTCAGAATGTCCCTCATTTGGAAATAACCTTTGCAGACATAATTAGTTAAGAGGAGGTCATACTGGGTGAGGGTAGGCCCTAAATCCAATGACTGGTGCCCTTATAAAAAAAGGATTGGACACAGAGAGTCACACAGAAGGAAGGAAGAAATTGAAGTGATGCAGCTACAAGCCAAGAAATAGCAAACTCCCACCAAAAGCTTGGAGGTAGGCCTGGAGCACACCGCCCTCTGAGCCTCCAGAGGAAACCGACCCTGCCGACACTTTGATGTCAGCCTTCCAGCCTCCTGAGCTATAAGGGAATAAAGTTTTGTGGTTTTAAATCATCCAGTCTGTGTAATTTGTCATGACATCATTAGAAAACTAACACAATTACCATTTATTCAATGTTCCAAATAAGTGCTTAATGTAAATTCCATTCTGTCATTTACTCCTCAAAACAATCCTCTCAGCTAGGTATTAGTGTCATGGTTTTACAGATGAGGAAACCGAGCTGAAGGCCACACAGTGAGTAAGTGACAAAGCTGAAACTTACACTAGGGTCCCTATTCTTGGCCAGATTTCTGATCTTGGCTTCCATTAGTTGCTGGGGACAAACCACCTGGATGGGGAGGAGGTACAAGGGGACAGTAGAAGGACCTGTCCTACCAAAGGGTATAAAATTTCTAGAAACAAACAAGCCATGCAAAAATGTTGGCTTTTGTAAGAGAATGTTTTTATTTCAAATTTGCAGGAGGGGATGCAGAGGAGTAAATGGAAATGTAGGAAAAACAGAAATAGAAACACATTCATTGATAGAAGTTTTCAAAAATCTAAAATCATCTTATTTAGTTTAGAGACTAGAATGCATTACGCATAAGTTATTTTTGCTCTCAGAATTATCCAGTTTTATGGACAAGGACTATGCAAGGACTCAGAAATATCAAAACAGCTGAGGTTTAGAGTGATATGAATATGAATAGAATTTATCTATTAAAATTGACTTTAATGTTACATCATTCCTGTGATTAAAACCCAGGAGCAAAATAGTAGGCTTGGAATATTTAGAGGCAAAATACTCCCCAAAATAGTTTTTCAAAATGATCAAAATAAATAATTTATTTGGTGGTTTGGGATTTTGAGGCATAATTCCCTCAAGCCCTCTTTTCTCAAGGCTGAAAGTCAGCAGGGCTCCCCCTGGGCTGTTCACCAGTGCATCCTCACTATTCGACAGGGTAAGGACAGTCACAGGCAAAATGAAAGGGCAACAACTTGCCTCCAAGGAACCCCCACCTTCTCTGGCCCCCTCCTTCGCACCCCCTGTGACTTGTGCCCTTCCAGTCAAGGAGGAAGGAAGCTTCTGCTCAGAGTTAAGTAAAGACATAACTCATGCAGTTATTCTCAAGAACAGCCTGGGGTAAGCTGGTGCCCATCCCAAATAGATCAACTTGTGTTTTCTAAACACTTCCTCACCAGGCATTGCGCCAGCTGCTTCACGGCCTGATCTCATCTGCTCTGAACACAATTGTGTGATGTTAGTGTTACTGTCACCATTATGGACAGCTGAGATGACACAGTCAGCAAGTGGCTGTGGTGGGCCTGGCTCACTGCCATCTGCAAGTGAGTCCTCCTACAGATAGCCCACAGCTCTGTGCTTGCCCAGGGACTGCACACCTGCAAATGCATCATGGTTGTTCTGTGACCTGGTAACAGCATAGCAAGATGGCACTGGGGGCTGGTAAGCAATTGGACCCACAACCTAGATGTTAGATCTGGGTGATGTGATCTGTAAGAGGCTGGTTTTATGTCTAGAACAACATAAGGAATTGTGCTATTAGCTTGTTGTGGGCTTGCTAAGTCTCACGCAGGGCTTTCCATAACCTGACCCTGAACAGGCAGGTGATGTTGGCCATCAACTGTGACGTGTTTCCTTTGGCAAACTGGGAGGCCAGAGAAGCCATGCTCTCCAAATAACTCCAGCTGACAGTTCCTAGTTTGTTTTGCTAGAAGTGTATCCCTTGATCATGTTGAGTTAATTGTAAATTTGATAAGCCCTGGGTTTGAGAGACTAATTCCATCAAATACCCAGTCTTCCAACCCAAGGCCTCTGAGTCCCAGGACAGGGCTCTTGGCACAGCCATGCTGCTTCCCTACATTTATAGGTTTTTTTGTAGTCCTTCCTGAATGGACACATTTTGCATGACAGTGAGGGAGATATTTTGGAGGGAGAAGTAGATGTATCTAGTGTCCCCCAAGCAATTTGTGTTGGGAATGCTCATTCTGTGTGTGGATAAATCCAAACTATGTCCTTGGATATGCCCTTTCTGCTGACATTCTTGCTAGAGACGTTCTGCTTGTCATCTGAAGGGACTCTCTTCTGAGGGTAAGGTTATGTGTACCAAGTGAATCCTAAAAACTCTGCAGCAGACACTCCAAAACACTGATAAGAAAGGTAGCCAAGATGAGATCTTCCAACTCTTAGTTCAGCTCCCTTGCTATTAAAAAAGCAGTAGTAGCATTAGCAATAATAATAATGTGGCTAAGGGTCCACACCCTAAAAAGAGAGCAGTTAATAAGATAGGAAATTCACCAAATGTTCATCCCATACATTATGCAGATAAGTTTAAGGGATGTGCCCAAAGGCACCCAGCTAATAAAGCACCAGGAGCCAGGGGCCAGCTCTCCCTAAGACGTGACGCACACCTGCCTTCTCAGGCTGGTCTTTCAGATTTTCCTTGGTGGTCTGAGTGTGGGAGAGCAAGAAAGAGGCTTTAATGGAATTTGACTTACACATGCATCTTAATTAAGAATCAGATTAGAATTGCTTGAAGCATGCACTTTGAAAAAGAAAGAGTATGCAGAAGATTTATTATCAGTCACTGAGCCCACTGAAACATCTAGCTGTGGCTGAGAGCTGGATGGATGATGTGCTTGCTTGTTTCAAAATGAGCAAAATCACTGCCCTGCCAGAAATGGACCAATGAGGCCTCTCCCCAGAGCTGGCGTTGGAATAATTAAAGCCTTGGCAGCCTCAGTTCTGGGGGAGGAAGCTGGCCGCCATGGGCCTCTGACACGCAAAGGGCGATGATGTGGTTCAGGAGGTGTGGGGCTATGCTATCTCTTGCCTCTGCGGATGCCCCAGCTCTGACTGACAGCTCTGCTTTCAATACACAGGGCAGCACTGGCCTGAGACAGCCACTCATTAATATCTCTTCCTCCTCTCTGATAACTAATCAAAACGGTAGTGAAACGGATCAGATGAGCGTTGTGAAATCAGCAAGGGATTTGGAATCAGAGTCCTCGCTTCAAGTTTGAGCTTTGCCACTACTTGTCTGTGTGACCTTGGGCTGGTCCCTTGACCTCTCTGGGGCCCTCTGTCAACTCTGCCTCTCAGGGCTCTGGTGCTGCACTAACAGTGGCTGGCAACTAGGGCTCGCCTGCCAAAGCAGACTCGCAGGACCCCAGCGAGAATGCTGACAAATCTAGTTTATTACAGAAAAAGGAGGCAGAAGAGTAACAACATTAGAGCAAGGAGATGCGTCCCAGCTGAAGGCTGCCTCGTAGCCTGTGGACCGGGAGGCCCGGCACCAGCTCCTGCTGTCTCTAAGGGCTGTGACAAAATGCACTTGCTCACATCAGAAACTACTGATGTATCCACCAGTATCTTGGAACGAGGGGGCCCAAAATAGAGTCTTTGCTGGAAATGTTTATATTTTGCTGGCCATGTAGGATCATCTTGTTATGTGCCCAGCTTCAGTAGTGGAGTCCTGTGAGGTTTCACTGAGCCCAGATGTGAATCCTCAATCTCACTGTTACCCATGAGCAGTGCTTATAGGCCAGTACAAGCCATTCCCAAACACCAGGACAGGTGGTTGCAAAGCAGCATTATTAATCAGCATGCTTTGTGCCTTGTCCAGGGGTCAGTTCTGTGCAAGAAGCTTAGTGAAGCAATTGGGGCAAATTCAAAGCCTCCTGGAATTCTCTTAACACAGGTACCATAGAAGAAAATGCATGTACTTAATAAAACTATAAATCATCATAGAATGTTGTTGTTTCAATATATACCGTGTCTTCCTATGTCTTTAATTGCCACAATGCAGACCTGCCAGGATGCTCAACCCCTTTGTGGGGGCTGATCCATGCCAGGCAATGCTAACAGAAGG